ACAAACGATGAATAAGAAATTCCTATTCATTTGCTTAAAACTCAGAGGTAATGAAGTCAAAGAAATATTAATTCAGAGATTCCACAGAACAATCCAAAGAACATTCAACGCCAAAAAGCTAAAACTGGTGTTTTCTACTCTCCTGAGACTCAAAGATGAATTAATTGGAATGATCACTTTGTTTTCTATTTATCAATTTGACCGCTCTTATGAAGCAAGTTATGTTGGCCAAAGTTCTAGAAATCTATATCTTCGTGCTCGCGAGCATCTCCGAGAATGACCAAATAAAGGCGTAGAGTGAACAGCTCTATTGTAAACTAGTCACAGTGCCGGTATAAACCAATACTTCGCAATAATTCATCGGATCAGTACATTTTCACCAAAGTCGGTGCAGCACAAAGTCTTCAAATGGTAGAAGCGATAGTCATTAGGATTAAAAAACCGGTGCTGCGTAGGGAAGAAAAGATCTTCCACCACTCCCCTTAACTTGGCCAACTTCAGGACCAATTAATCATTAGTAATCTTAGCAAAAAGGGAACTGAATAATAAACGAGATTTCGAGTTCAGTAGGTGTTCTGTAACTTTAAAGTATTATTACTGTTATATCTTGTAACCGCCGATTAGAGAGCAGTGACTTAACGATCGGACCAAGGACGCGTAAACACGTGCGAGCAGCATAGAGTCCTGATTGGCCCTGCTTCCTGTCTAGCCCAGCCAGTTAAGTACAGAACACAAGTCTCAGCCTCTGCAATATGAATCATGTATTTCAAACATACTCTGTTTATATGCCAATCAAACAGACCACATCGTACCATAAAATAGACAATAACATTTGTACTGGATTTGGTCAAATGTGGCTGTGAATGTTGGAGGTAGTGATTAATAGACGGAGAATAATTCAAGAATGGAAAATCTTATAATAACAGTTCGTAGGTTAAAATAAAGCTTATGATAAGAGAGACATGAATACGAATAGTTTAGTTAATTAACAATTATACGGTAAAAATATACGCACAGTATTCGTCCGTAAATAGATCCAAAAAATCACCACTTATTATACAACTCGGGACACAACAATTACTTACGCCTGTTACCACTCGTGGAGGAGCATAGACCGCCCACCAGCATTCTCTATCCAACCCTGTCCTGAAAAATCCTTTCCAGCTCTTTCCAGTTGTTATTCATCCTTTTCATTTCTGCTTCTATTTCCCGATGTAATGTGTTCTTTGGGCTTCCACTTTTCCGTTTCGTTTCAGGATTCTAAGTTAAGGATTGCCTCATGATACAGTTTGATGATTTGCGTAATGTATGTCCTTTCCATTTCCTTCGTCTTTTCCTAATTTACTCTTCAGCTCGAAGCTGGTTTGTTCTCTACCACAGTGGACTGTTGCTGATGGTATCTGGTGTAGACAACTATTTATAAATATTTGTATCTTCTTGATGATGGTTGTAGTAGTTCAAGTTTCAGCTCCGTACAGTAGAACTGTCTTGACGTTCGCATTGAAGACTCTGACTTTGATATTGGTTGATAGACAGTTGTTTTGAGTTCCATATTTTCTTCAATTATAGGAATGCGGCCCTTGCTTTGCCAATCCTCGCCTTTACGTCTGCATCTGAACCTCCTTGTTCATCGATGATGCTTCGCAGGTATGTGAAGGATTCTACATCTTCCAGAGTTTCGCCACCAAGAGTGATTGGATTGTTGTTCTTCGTTTCGAATTTGAGGACCTTGGTTTTCTCGTTGTGTATGCTGAGGCCTACTGATGTAGAGAGTGCTGCTACACTGGTTGTCTTTATCTGCATTTGTTCATGCCGCTTTACACAACCTTAAACCAATTTCAGATATATATAAGTAAAACAATTCAGTCGATTTGAACCAAGTATCAGTCATAAATAAAGTAAAACTTAGAGCAAATGTGATTCTATCCGAGACAGTATACCATATTAGAATAATGAGATGAAATGAACAAGGTCTTTAGGTTTAGAATAGAAGTTATAATGGTAATTTCTATAATGATGAAAAAATTTCATGAATCTCTTCAGTTATTGGAATCATTGTTTTTCATTTGTTCACTTTTATCATTCTTACACAAACCTAAACCAAACAACAGGGTTGATTGTCGAAATGAGAGATGGTTAGACATATGAACCATTTCACTTAAAATACTCTAATCATAAAATGTAAACATTAGAATTCAGTCATCTTAACGATTGCGATCTAGATAATTCCAGAGTTTCGTTCAGTCAATTATTTGGAACTTCTTCAAAGGAAATATGATCGAAATCAACATTATCATATACATATAGAAGGTATAAATCATTAAATAACACTAAAGGTTTTTTCAATGATATTGATCAAATCATAACATGAGGCGGGATCGTGGATACACACTGTTGAGGAGTCCTACAATAGGACGATAAAGCCATCCAATGCTCCCAGGTTTTCTATGATGGTATAACTTCAATGGACTCATAATCCTAACTATTACAATAATTAGTTATTATCATAGTAACTATTGATTAACAAGTCAATACAAAGATCGTAAACATCCATCAATTAGAAAAAGGAATATCAACAATAATTGAATCTTCATATATATTTGATTTATTGATCATTTTCATTCATTGAATTGAATTTCAATTCAACTGATTTATATTACTGAAATATACTTTCAGATTATAAATAAAGATAATGATGATAATTACTTATTGTTCTCTAATAACAACAGTCAGCATCATTGATGAACAGGGTGGATCTGATGCAGATGTGAAGGCACGGTTCGGCAAAGCAAGAGCAGCATATTTACAACTGAAGAACATCTGGGACTCAAAGCAACTGTCAACCAACACCAAGGTCAGGATTTTCAATACAAATGTCAAGACAATTCTACTGTATGGGGCAGAAACCTGGAGAACTACAAAAGCCATCATCCAGAAGATACAGGTGTTTATTAACAATTGTCTACGCTAAATACTTCAGATCCATTGGCCGGACACTATTAGCAACAACGTACTGTGGGAGAGAACAAACCAGATCCCAGTGGAGGAAGAAATCAGGAAGAAGCGCTGGAAGTGGATAGAACACACATTGAGGAAAGCACCCAAGTGCGTCACAAGACAAGCCCTCACATGGAATCCTCAAGGCTAATGGAAGAGAAGAGGAAGACCAAAAAACACATTACGCCGAGAAATAGAGATAGACATGAGAAAAATGAACAAGAATTGGATGGAACTAGAAGGGAAGGCCCAGGACAGAGTGGGTTGGAGAATGCTGGTCTGTGGCCTATGCTCCATTGGGAGTAACAGGAGTAAGTAAGTAAGTAATAACAACAGTCTGCAGATACATGCTCACACACACACATACACACACAGAGAGACTTACTGACATCTATAACATGGATAAACAATTACTATATCAGTTGGTTTCATTAACCTATTATAAACAAAAGTGACCTTTTACTGGATAAGCTTTAATTCTAATTTTATTATATTTGATGAAGTCTTGGCACTCAGTTCAATCAGCAATCAATAGACATATTGAAATTGATCCAATTTATCAATCAATCAGAAAAACTATGGACAAATATAGGACCGAGAACCAAATCAATGGGAGATACAATCAAAATAAAGTAAACAATGTGCTATGTTTGAAGAGATTACGAGTTCACCTTATCTGAGAACGGAACGAAGACCTTGTGACACAATCACCAATAAGCTAGCTATTCCCGACGCGTACCAGCCCCGCGAACTAGAGAGAGAAGTCCAAGTTCAGAAGAGGGAAATATATTCCACAAGCAGTCAGAAGCACTAACAACAACAACAAACATAAATCAAGAGTATATATACAGCATAAAAATGTCCTTGGGAAGCGTTACAAAATAGCATACTAAAACGTACAACGAACCAATAGTGTTGTTAAGTTTGTCTTACATTGTTCCTGCTCATTCCCTTTCTACTCTTCTATATATTGTTTTATGCTACTCATTTACATTCAGTAAGCAGTCGTAGTTCTAACAATTTTCAAACTTACGTTGTAACGCGAGTTGTTCTGTAATATTCTGAATTGTTCACATATACTTATAACGTTTATTGTACTTATCATTGTATTTATCATTATAATTACTGTATCTTAATCACTGTAACCGTTATCCACAGTTTTGTGCATTTGTTTAAACGCAACAGTTTCCATATTGCTTTGCCCTCGGTTCGAGTTTCGATTGCTCATAAACTGTTATCCAATTTAGACACAGCTATCGGCTGTCTTTGTACTATCGTATGTTATGATTATTCTTTATGTTACTCTTACAGGAAGCCTTTGTTATTTTCATTCTTGGAGGACGCGTTTAAACGCCTAGACACCTCACAAGTTGAGGTTTGTAACAAAATTTTGTGTATTATTTAATAAAGAACCGCTTTTGTAGACAAATCGTTGTTTTGGAACTTCGATTTTGCGCGTATCTCAATCAGGGTTACTTGGACGCTTCGATAGAATTAACAAGTGTTTAAGATCCTCTCAGGTGACAAATACAACATGAAGGCGAAAATGAACGTTTTTGGCGCGAAAACAAGAAATGCAAACTTTTAAAATAGAATTACAGAAATAAAGTATTTATCAAGTGAATTCTGTGGATCTAACATCTCCAACACAATAATAGGTTAAAAGTCAATAATAACCAATCAAGACCAAGGTCTACAAGACAAGCTATGAGTCATATGTGAAGAGATTCGAACACTTCACTTCTACCTGAAATTTTTGCTGATACTGTTGTTCAGAAGAAAAGAAAACACAATGAAAGCACCACGACATAACCATCTAACTCAGAGAACAAAACTCCATCAAAATCATTCGCCTAAACTACAAATTCTTCTCGATTATCTAAATTTTAAAATTTCTTTGATCATTTCCCTTTGAAGAATTAAAGACCAGTTTTACCAAGATAAAAAAAACATTAGAATTATTTAAATGAAAATCAATCAAATTATTTGAAATATTTACTAACTTCTAGGTATTCAATGTTGAATTTCTGCTGAAATCTTGACGACGACGACGACGACGACGACGACTGGAATACTTAAATCATTAACATAACTTGATTCACTACTTGATCCACTACCATTATTGTTTACAGAAATAATCGGGATGGGGTAGTGGGGAAGAGTGAATGGGGTGGATGAGCATAAAATTTCATTTTAATCACAGCTACAAGCTTTATTCAATTTTTCTAATGTATATGGAAACTATACAAAAATTACATTAAACATATTGACTAGAAGAATGGGGTACAATAATACAATGAAACATCTATGCAAGATGTTTGTTTTTTTACAATAGATTATTTATGTAATAATACACAAATTCATTAAATTAACTTTTTAATTTTAGTAAATGAATTTGTTGAACATGACTTCGTAGAAATGGACGCCAACCACGAATTAGTTGTTGATTTTGACTAAGATAACGTTGACATTCATACCAATTATGAAAAGAATTCGATTCAGTAGCACCAATTAAATTTGCACCATGTACAGCCATAACACAACCGGTTAACTAATGAAGAGAAAATATATTGATAAAATAAGATATAATATTGATGATAGTTAATAATAATATTTCTAAACTATAGTGTCAATTCACTATTACTCAAGAGTTGAAGATTACAATAGTTGAGATCATGAGTCAATTGAAGCTAGATCACCACGGGAAACCTGAAAGCACTGGACAGCCGTTTCATCCTAGTATGGGACTCCTCAGCAGTGTACATCCATTCGAACCCATGACCTATCAGTTTCGCGCGCGCGGGACTAATCATGTAATCTGTTTTATAACTATTAGAATTGAGGTTAGAAAAGTCAAAGTCAAACAATCATATCACGTTCAAAATACTTCTCATTTGTGACAATACAAATGTCGCATTATCCATTTCTATTGTTCAAAACATCCATGAAAGTTATTGGAAGTCTCTTCTTAAAACCACAGTTTAATGGAGATATGACTAGTGATGATGTCCTTCAGAACAGACTAGTGAGAGTTATTAAAAGGAAATTTTATGCAACTAATCCTAATTTACGATTTCCCAGTAAACCGGTAGTGTTTACTGGAATAAAGGATAATTTAGCTGATTTTACCACTTTGATGTGTATTTACCGATCCAGCTCTTCCTACAGCGAAAGCTCTATCACGTGTATCATGAAGGAATTTAGTCAACAAATGAGTGAACATCTCTCTGTGAGTGGTTTGGGAAAAGTCAAACAAACTTCATCTTCTATATGGTTGGTAGATATGAAATTACAGATATATCTGATCACCTGCGTCAACACTCGTGGTAAATAACAGGGAAAAATAGTGAATGAAATATGATACTCGGAATATATACCCAACAATGATAGGGTATTTATTTGTCATTATAGAGAAACATTCTTAGTAAAATAAATAAATCTGTTCAAAACTGAGTCTATTAGTTGGTCAAATATAATCAGCGAGATATTATGAATCTAGACTTCATCCTATATTAAAAGTTATCAGTAATACATATCTGGAAATGTTAAGCATAATGGTATCCCCTTCTCGTGTGATTCGAATTCACATAACATAGTGAAACAGTGAAGGACATTATCATTGAGGTAGTTGAACATTCGCTTAGATTAGGACTAATAGTAGAAATAATAGTTGTATTTAATACTTTATATTTCGTCAGTGTAAGGCGTTCTCAACGGAAAACATGAAGTGTTGTGATAAATTCTGCTTTGATATATGTATATCATTTATAACCATGCAAAAAATGTACTTGAACAGTGTTTATCTGTCATTTATTTTTAACTATAAATGTTTTCGACTATTTTCACATTGCATATTATGTTTAATATATAAATCTTAATATATTCTCCTCACATCTATTTGACGAATAGATAAGAAGCAAATTATACAAACATGCAAGATGTTTTCATCTATATCTTTCAGTATCATGATAGATTATGAGCTTTTCTGTTTTAGAAAAGTGTATAATTACAGTGTGTCATTCAAAAACAAAATAATTGTGTTAAAATACATCTAAAATGCGAAAATTTATTGTGGCGGCTATTCAATCTTAGAATAGGTAACCTAAAAGTTTGAAAAGGTCATTTAAACTCGCATCTGCTGGGATCACCAGGTAAGTAATAGTGACGTTAGACGAAGGGTATTAGGGAATGATGATAAATCATTTGATGAGGTTGTGAATCTTAATCGACTGAGACGGTTGGGCCACGTGTTACGTATGCCTGAGCACCGATTACCACGACGTGCAATGCTGACTAGTGTTCGGGATGGTTGGAAGAAAGTTAGGGGCGACCAAACCAAAAGGTGACATCAGTGCTTGAAGACACTAACATCTGGTCTGAGTCATGTTGGTAGATGCAGACTACTTGGTTGGGGTCCGCGTGACTATCGTAACCAATGGTTGGAGACTCTTGGTGACATGGCTCAGAATCGATCACAATGGCGTCGGTGTATACACTCTCTGTCTTCCCTTAAACTATGAAATTAAAATCGCTTAATATCTTTCTTTCTACGTACTAGACCTTTCTTCCTGTAATATGTCCTTATATGAAATCTTTCTTTTATATATTACCACCATTGACTTAACCAGTTCTATGAATCTGGTGTTCATCTTGTTGTGCTAATGAAGTATGGCAACTTAGACCGACGCACATATGTGCCTGCCTGGTCCTACGTTGTAGCTGACTGACTGAATTAAACTACCTAAACAACACAAAATCAGTTTTTAGTGATATTTTGCTCTTTGAGTGAGATAGTTTAATTGAAAGCTTCCACTATCACTATGCTAAACATCACATAGGCTTCCATACAACAAAGTATAAGCAGATAATTTTGTTCAGAACTATAATGAACATAACCCTAACTAAAAGTATTCATTTAAGCTGAATATCTCCTGAATCATTTCCAAATAATTGTCAACTGATTAATACAACGGTAAAAATTGAAGCCTTTTGATGTGATCTTACTTTTACAATGATTGGAAAATAATAATTCTGATTCTTAAAAAAAAAACCTCATATCAACCAGTGCAATAAAAGAATTCCTTGACACTTCACATTACTACTACTACTACTACTACTACTACTACTACTACTACTACTACTACTACTACTACTACTACTACTACTACTACTACTACTACTCACATTAAACTTACTTCAAATGGATAAGTATAATTATGTAATGTATAGTATAATAATACACGTAAAATATTCATATTTTCAGTAGACCTTCTACCTAATCCAAATATTAATAATCTGACCAGACGACAAGAACAATAATAAGCTGATGTTAAAATCATTTCACCAATTAAACGTGGTATAAAACCCTTTGAATAATAGAAGAAAATAAAAGAAGAAAAATCAAGTGAATATAAATATTTTATAAATAAATAAATAAAAATAAAACATGACTATGGCATTAGTTCATGAAATCCATAGACAATTGAACTTAACCATCTTAATAAATACAGATTATCTGGTTGGATTATCGTAACCAATGGTTAAAGACTATTAAATTGCGATACAACGAATCATTGTTGGACAATCAGTTGAATGAAACTCGTCACTATACATCAACTTCCTTGACTATGTGAAAGTAGATAGGAGAACCTTATAGAGCCTTCTTCGATACTATGGAGTACTTAAAAAAAGTCGTCAGTATCATACGGAATTAATACGACGGACTATATTGAAAAGTGGTGAATGGATGATAGCTGATAGACTCATTCCAAGTGATGACCGGTGTCAGATAAGACTGTCTACTCTCCCTCTTTCTCTTCTTTTTGGTGGTTGACTCGATTATGAAAGCCTCGACATCTGAGGGGAAGCGCAGAACACAATGAACAGCATGGATGCAACTGGATGACTTGGACCTTGCAGATGACCTATCTCTTCCATCCTATACACATCGACAAATGCAGGTAAAGACAAACAGTGTATCAGAGGTCTTTACGGCAGTAGGCCTCAACATACACAAGGGAAAAACCAAGATCCTTAAATACAACATAGAGAACACCAAACCAATCACACTTAGTAGAGGAGCTCTGAAAGAGATGGAACCTTTCATATGTCTAGCTAGCATCATTGATAAGCTGGGAGGATCTAATGCAAAAGTAAAGGCAATAATTGCCAAAGCAAGGACAGCATTCTTACAGTTGAAGAACATATGGAACTTAAAACAACTATCAATCGATATAAAAGTTGTAATCTTCAATACGAGATCCAAGACAGTCCTAATGTACGGGGCTGAAACTTGGAGAAAGCTTCCAACTAAAGAGGAAATTAAGAAAAGACGTTGGAGGTGGATAGGACAAACACTGTGGAAATCACCAAACTGAATCACGAGGTAAGCCCTAACTTGGAATCCTGAAGGAAGAAGAAAAAGAGGAAGACCAAGCAACACACTGCGTCGAAAGGTGGAGGCAGACATCAGAAGAATGAATAGCAACTGGAAAGTATTGCCCAAGATAGAATTGGTTGGAGAATCATGGTGGGCGGTCTATGCTCATCTACGAAGGGTAACAGGCGTAAGTGACCAAGTAAATTAATTGATTATCGATCATGAATAAAACTGTAAATAGTACAAACACACATCTGTCAAAGTTGTTTGACAACATCAGCACTATAAGTTAAAATTAAAAAGATGGATAGAAAATAATTTGAAATAACAATAACAGCGTAAATTACGTTAAGAAACTAAACATAAAAATATGGTTTGCAAAGAAAGAATACAAGTGAGAAATCAAAACACGAGGTATTAATGAGACTGAATTAGTATTTACTTAGTCAAAATGTTGGCTTATAGCGACTCACGTGCAAATGAGTTTAGTCTCATCTAACGCAGTTAACCCCTTTTGCTAACTCATTTAGCGGACAAAGTCATCCGTACTATAACAACTTATTGTACCCTTATTATTTTGTGCTTGTATGAAATACGTATGCTTGAATATTGCTTACGGCCTACGCATTTATTCACTTTGCTAGTCTTACTACTAACTGCTTATTTGATTCGATTGCTCATTCATTTCACATGGTATATATATATATATATATATATATATATATGTCCATGTTATTCATATTCAACACACACTGACACACTCTCGTCTCGCTCTTGCTCTGGCTCCCGCTCGCTTGCTTGCCTTTCGGCACAACTCTTCTATGCTTGTTTAACGCATCTGTACATTTGGATATATGTGTGTGGTCTCGTAATAAACGTAATCAACACTTCGTATTTGCCTTCTGATTAATAAACCGTTGGGACGTTATATAGAACGGTTATCAAGACGAACTGTATACGAAGTTTAATGATTATATCGAATACCGACCACCACAGGCTCTCATATGATACATTTAGCTTGCAGGCTAAGTATGCTTGATCGGTATACGTCTCAAGTTTAGATTAATCTAATAGTAGCTGAGTAGTACATGTTTGTAAATTTAACTTTGAATTCTACACATTTTACGTACGATGGTTACCCGAATCGAAGTGCAGGAAGCCAATCATTAGACGAGAGAACGAGACAGAAATCAATAAAACGTATCATAGGATAAAACAATCATCGCCTACCTGGAAAAATCCTAAAATACCATTTTCACGATAAACAGCTCGAACAGCCATAGGAAAAAATGTATACTGAGTTTCCTTGCCAATCAAAGCTGCAATCTGTCGAACAGTAATCACTGAATTAATAAAATATAGACTATTATGTGGTTTCTAACATTTTAAAAGATAACAAATTAAAGAACAAGAATTAGTAGATGTCTAAAATACTTTTTTTGTGTGATCTACAATCTCTATCCAATATATATACTTTACCTGTTAATACATGTAAACGTTCTTGAATAAGTTGCATGTTGAGTTATCTGCGTAACTCTTAAACCTTACCATTAGCGCTGTGGATTTGGAATCTAGGAAAAAATATGTTACTTTTAAAGTCAACAATTTTAAACCCTTTCTTCTGTCTTTGGGAAGATAGCATCACTGCAGATGTTGATTGTATGTCGAAAATACTGATTCGCCATCAAGTCTTAATTTAATTGACTTGTTAGGAATTATAGGATCTCGATAAAAATGAATGTTTTAATCAATACAGCTTAACTGGATCACCGTGATGAAGAAACTTGACCATCACATTGAAACAGTAATCAAGATTGAAGGACATTTAATAGGCTTTAACGGACAAGTTGACATTTAGACAAAAGTATATTATTAACCTAAGAAAATATTCAAAATTATGATCACGGATATGAATGGGTTATTCTAATATTTAGTAGTTCATAAAGAGATTTGGTATAAAAATACAATGATTGATTGATTACTGACATAATCAAATGAATATGGTTTGAAACATGGCGTGAAAACGTAGATGAAGGTGCACATAATTTAATATTTTTAACAAAAATACAAATCTATCCAAAAATTTGTTCCATACGTATCTGTCTAGATCTATAATTTTGACTGGAATATTAGAAAGTCCCAAAGTATCTAAGCTCCAGAAAAGAATTAATTTGTAATAATAATTAGTAGTTCTCAACAGTCACCTTGTGCTATTGCTATAGTAAGGATAATCTGCTGAAAATCTTATGCAACAGGTTAATCAATCTTAACAATAAGTTGAAAGAAGTTTGAGAAAGGCTACAAAACAACATGATACTAGTCTACAACATTAGTCCCAGATGTGTAAAAAGTTAGAAACTTCCAGGTAGGATTGCGTGAGATCCTCGTAAATGGTGATTATAGAACTTAAGGAGGCATAGCTATAACTTAGTTGCCTCCAAATGCTCTGGTACGGCCGAGAGTGGGGTGGACCCGCCCTCCTCGAAATGCTCTCACATGGTCACGCGTATATAGTCTCTGCCAGGGAAGTCCTACTCACTGCCTTCTCGTGACGAGGGTGTTGTTTACGAAGATGAGAGGATGAAAAGCGAATGTCTGGCGCTTTAACCGGATTCCAAACCAATGGTGCACATGGGCTCCAGTATCCTGAGGGAACAAATAGCGTATGAAACAATCGTTGGTCACCGGTTACAACGGAACTGCATCTCCTGACGTTGCTCAACTGCTTGGTGGGTCAGACCTTTAGGTCAATGACTCGGGGTGTGGCCCCCTAAGAAAACCACCTGCCTCGGTCTGGGCACCCGGGAAGTATCACAGCTCACACACAAATAAAATGAAGATGACGATATTTACGGAAAATTCTATTCTTGCTTCGATTTCCAGTCAAACAATTCACATTATTATTATTATTATCATCTTTATTTACTACGTCACTTATTCACTCTCTTTTATTCCCACTCTGTGTATCCTTATTTTTTGACTTATACAGTAGCTCGCCTGTGGTGGAAACTCGGTTCTATCTAAACGTTCTCGAGTCACTGTCCGGTTGAAAATTGAGTGCAACCACTAAATACGAATACTGAAGCAGTTTTTCTGAAACCACGTGCACCATTCAAACTGGCTGCCTTCAACGTTCGCACACTAATGCAGATCGGACAACAGATAGGGCTGGCTATGTCTTTAGAAAGTCTTAATATCGACGTTTGTTGTCTATCCGAGACCCATATTCAAGACTCTGGTGAAGTACTGTAAATGAGCCCTCCATCTGTCGCTTCAAAAAGCTTGTTTGACGTGCGCTTATCCGGAGACCCTGTGGAATCTTCGTCTGGTCTTGCTGGCGTTCGTGTCGCACTAAGCGCTAGAGCTGAGGCAGCACTAATCGATTGGATCCCCATTAATAGTCGGTTATGTGCTGTTAGATTAGAGAGTTCCATCAAAGTGAGAAGAAATCGGCGTGAGAAACGATGTCTTTTCGTCATCTCCGCCTATGCCCCGACAGATTGCAGCCCGGATGCAATCAAGGATGTTTTACCACCAGTTATGGGCACAATTCTTCGAAGGGCAGTTCAACTGGCTTGCTGCTCCGGAAACATCGGTCAGACTGTCCTGCCCTCCATGGCCGGTGACGACTGATCCACCAAATGAGGAGGAAGTCCGCAAGGAACTCCAACTCCTGAAGCGCTACAAATCACCGGGCCCAGATGACTTACCTCCGGCTCTTTTTAAAGATGGTGGTGACTTTCTGACTAAGGAATTGACGACGTTGTTTACAAAGGTTTGGGAGCTAGAGAGTGTACCAACGTCATGGAATGAGTCGATAGTTGTCCCTATCTTTAAAAAAGGTTGACGTCGTTCCTGTAACAACTATCGGGGGATAAGTTTAGTTGATTGCATCCGAGCTATTGGCTTCCGTCATACTTCATAGGTTGTTCAAAACCCGAGAAAGATTGACTCGCGAGGAGCAGGCTGGGTTTCGTTCCAGTCGAGGATGTATTGATCATATCTTCACCCTCCGCCAAATGTTAGAACACCGCCATACTTATCACAGGTCAACAATCGTAATGTTTCTTGACATCATGGCTGCCTTCGACTCGTTGGATAGGACTGTTCTCTGGGATTGTCTATTGAAGAAGAGTGTGCCTGAGAAGTTTATTAACATCCTAAAGGCCCTATATACAAACACCTCAGGCAGAGTGAGGGCATACAACCACCTCTCTCCATTGTTCCATTCGAGCAGTGGGGTTAGGCAGGGTTGCCCAATCTCACCATTCCTCTTCAACTTTGCCATCGATGACATTCTGGAAACAGCTCTGATGAATGTAAGTAATTGTGGTGTGGATCTGTTGCCTGGAGAAAGACTTCTCGACCTTGAGTATGCGGACGATATTGTCTTACTGTGAGATAGTGCCCAAACCATGCAATCCTCACTTAATCAGTTGGCAATCAGTGTCCGTAGGTATGGTATGTGCTTTGCACCTTCGAAGTGCAAAGTACTTCTACAAGACTGGCAGGATTCTAATCATGTACTCACCCTGGATGGTGAGCAGTTAGAAGTAGTCGGGAAGTTCGTGTATCTAGGTAGTTGCATAAGTGCTGGTGGCGTGAGTGATGAGATCAATGCACGTATAGTGAAAGCCAGAGCGGCTTATGCCAATCTGGGCCATCTTTGGCACCCTCGTGATGTTAGTCTGGCTGTAAAAGGTCGGATCTACAACACGACTGTGAGAGCAGTTTTCCTCTATCCTTGTGAAACCTGGCCTCTCCGAGTTGAGGACGTTAGACGACTCTCTGTGTTCGATCATCGCTGTCTCCGAAGGATTGCTGACATCCAGTGGCAACACCATGTTGGTAATGCAGAGGTTCGGCATCGTGTGTTCGGTCACAGAGACGATAATGCAATTGGTGTCACCATCTTGAAACACCGACTTCGGTGGCTTGAGCATGTTCTACGAATGTCGTCCCAGAGAATTCCACGTTGTGCATTATTTGCCGACGCTGGGACTGGTTGAAAGAAGCGGAGAGGTGGTCAGTGTATGATATGGTTTCGTGGTATGAAAGAAAGCTGCAAAGGGCTGGCTCCTAATGGTCCTTCACGACTCCCTGGTTGGGGTCCTAGAGATGGTGCGACGCAGTGACTAGAGACGTTATCAGATATGGCTCAGAATAGAAGCCAGTGGCGATCCTGCTGTAACCTTTTACTTCATAAAAAGTGGTTGTATCTTCCTTAACTGAAAGATTTCTCCTGATTGTACCTTTCCGTTTCCCCCATTATTACTATCATTATTATTACTACACTACCTTACACTAATCTGTTCTTTTCTTTTTCTCCTACACGCACCTTACCTTCTTTCTCTTCCCATTCTCATTGCTTTGTGTGGCACATATACATTTGGTGCCCCCTTGTACCAATATTTATGTGTTCAAATAAATAATAAATAAATACCACCTTCAACACAGGCGATATATCTATCTGCCTATCAGAGCACGAGTACACAGCTCGGTAGCCAACTCTCTATTAAATCGAAAACGGAAATTGTGTACGTTATTGGTTTGTCTTGGCCAGGAGGCTTCTAGTTCTGTCCTGAAACCAGCTACTATAGTGATTCAAGGTAGGTTGAACGGTATACATAACATGTGTTCCAGCCACCTCATTCGATGAAGATTCACTACTTCATAAATCGATTCACTACTTATACCTAATAGCCTACTTTTGACCTCGACATCGCTTACTCAGTGATCTAGAAATGCTAAGCAAGCATCTATGGCCAAAAACTAGTGGTCTACGAACGTCCTCTATCTCTCTAAGTTCACATTTCACGGCCATAAAGTAAAACAAATAGGACTTATTGTGAAGTATACTCGTTACTTTGTTGGTAGGAAAGTATTCCACCTAAACCACAGGTGACTTAAGTTGGTGAAAGTAAAGTTTCTAGATCCATGCTGAGATCTCGCCAGACACCAGCCCATTAGGGTTTATGAAAATTACAAAATAAGTAAAGTGTTCATAATATATTTAGTTCCTTCAAATACTTTGTCCCAAACCCCCATGTTCTTAAAATAATCAACTGGATAATATCTGGACAAAAAAGAATAAGTACGAATTCAAACTAAAAAATACCATTCTTTGAACCGTATTAAGGTCTTGATTCTGAGTATCTCCATATACATCCCTTTACATTCCATGTTTTTTAACCATATTTCCAATGTTTAATCGTTCTTATTACCATTTTCACTACTAGTACTTGGACTCCTTAGCCACTCATCTTGTTAATTTCCTTTCGTTGGGCTGATGTGGTATGGGAACATGGGCCAACACATTTGTGCTAGGCTCTACGTTATGACTGACTGACAGTCTCTTTGGGCTGAGATTCCAAACTACTCGGTATGAAACTCTACTTGACCTAAATTTCTTGACAGTCTGGATTTGTCAGGTGTAACTGTAATATTTTGGGAACGTGGTCACGGGGCAGTCAATAATCTCCTATGAGACAGAAGTTTAAACTGGTTGATCACTGGGTAAGTGACCAATGTCATGTTTATCCATTCCTTAGTGATGATTAAGTTCCGTCGATCGAGTTTCAATGAATTTATTGTCCTACGTGACTCGACATCACGAACACTATGTTTTGACACCAGGTGGTCGGTAAAAAACCGTGGACCTGAGCACCGTGCTAGTTGGTACCCATTACCAAGGGATGCCTGAATAATATAACAATCAGATGATACATACATACGTATGTACACATTAATGTTGATATGGTAGTTTGTTCTACGGAAATGGGATATGCAAAAGAAATAGAAGTATACAAGATAAAATAGAACATACCATAAAATGGATGACTGACTAAGACTTCCCAAAGTTTTAGTGATAATATCTCAGTAAATCTTTCAAAGAAAACTGAAAGTCTTGACTCTTCCAAAAGTCGTTCAGCCTGAAATTCTTTATTGGTTTGTTGATTAGTAGTAGTATGAATGACGATCTGTTTTTTATTGTGAAAATTATTTTCTGTTCGCATCCATATATTTGTTCTTCGTCTAAACGCTGCGCGAAATATTTCCACAATAAAATCATGTGTAGCATTTGCAAACAATCCTGTTGACAGCACATTCCAAACACCTATTGTTTTCATTAAATGATAGGTATACTTAAAGAAATTCGGATAGACATAAATTGGAGATGATAAACCAAATAGAACAAGAGGCGAACTGAACTGAACTGGTGCCAATGGTTCATACCCCAACTTGATAAGAGTCCAGGCAACACGAAAAGGATTAGCCAATTGTCTCAGGAAGTAAACTTCAATACCAGCTACAGGTTGTTGTTCTACATAAGGTACAATTGTACACGATACATGTTGTGAAAATTCATCCGTATCACTGTCAATCATGGAGTCTAGGAAATAGACAAAAATATAAATAATTTATATAGTATTTGTCATGCAAATGAAAAACTATGATTTAAAATATATTTACCACGTCACAATATTACACCATCAAATGATAAATTGAAAATAAGTATAAATATAAATTGAACAAGTTAAAATAATGGTCACTTATTATTAACGTGGAACCTTGGATGAGTGTGTTTTCGGTCTAAGTTGGTGCACCACAAAATGAAGCATAGGAAGGGGAAATTTTTCAAAATCAACGAAAACTTAAACATGAGAAATATATTCCAAACGAAACAAATGGAGCCACAAACTGAATAGTTAAACACAATATTAAACAGACGTTTGAGAGAAATATACAAAATAAGTGCAACTGCTCCATTTTGACTGAATTACAACCAATATTATTTGAATTATCTGGGATTATTTTTGCAGATAATCGAAAATTTTAAGGAACGAGTAAACCGCTTCCTCTTGCTTTATCATAGAACGCAAGATCTTATTTATTTCGTATTTTGAATGACTTGGGCACTAAAAAGTCCTGTATTATTCTTTCCTTGAGTAAAATTCATCTCTGAAAGTTTAAAAGTCATGATCGAATACTACCCTCTCCCCATAATACTGGGACGCTACCTTTTATCTTAGTTATTTGGTTCGTTTACAAATTTAAACATGTAGTATAATCTACAGACCCCTTAACAAGCTTTTCTCCATACAATCTTCTAGACTTGCAGAGGGTCGAAGCACAAGTATTACGAACTTCTTGATATTGAGATTTTGTCTCGTCAGTATCCAGCAACCTAAATCTCTTCCACCTCCTCTTACGGAGGTTACGAACCTCCTCACTGAACCAGAGGCGAGTTTCTCGGATAATTTGATGTAGTACAAGGAATGTGAGGTGCGGCAAACTTTGTGCATATTTCTGAATACCTTCTAGGCCGTGTCAACGGGGGATTCTGGTTCTAATATCCAATCTACTGAGTGTATAATTTCATCTACATCTGCTTCAGAATGTTTGATTTAGCATGAGCTGTTGATCACTGTTGACAACGATGTGGAATTCAAAGGCTAGAACTGCACGGTCAGTATTACCTACGGGTAGCATATAATCAAGGTCTGCAAAACCATCCTGATAATATGAGGTCTAGTAGAAATTATTCGGAGCCCGTGTCATACCTAGCTGCTTCCTAAACATTTTGAACTAGGGGATGTGTAGTAACCACGTCAACGAATTTTCGTTTGAAAGAATTTTCTGACATCTTAGCACTCAGATTTTTCCAGTTTACCTTAGGTGAATTAAAGTCTCCTAAAACTAATCATCGACCGCTTGATGACCATGTGTTAAATCCGTCTAGCAAGACCTCATTCACCTTACAATTTGGACTGGCAAACCGAACCAATCGACAGCTCCTTTCCTTTGCATTTCAAGCAGTGGCTAACTAAGTTGCACGTTCCGCTCTTGTGATATGTTATCGATAACGGCAAATAAGATGGTATAATTAAGGAATAAAGGTACTCCACCTTTACGCTTTTGGGTTCTGTTGGTTCTTACTAATGTAAAATCTTGATCAAGTTCCCTGTTGTCTATAGACTGAGTCAGCCGAGTTTCTGTGACGACAGTTACATCCATCTAGGTAGAATATATCTGTACATCTAGCTCCTATCGCTTATTACACTCCTGTGATTTGTGTGACATCCGAAGACCATTTAAGTAGCTTCATGTTGTACCGAGGGTGGCTTCGGCATCATTCTCTGTCGAATCCTCATAGCCCGAAAATTTATAATTCTAAGTTGCTTAGTTTTAGTACCGTTACATCGCGCTTTTTTAAACAGCCCACGAGCGACAAGACTTTACCAACAAGAACTCCTGAACATTTTAATTCATGTACATTATACGGCATTAAGCCCCTTTCATTGGGCGATTGAAATACAATTTTTAGCAGCCTGGTTTAGTCCTATTGCAAGTCCGCTTGGCTACCTAGTCGACAAACCTTCAGCAAGGTAACCCTAGAAATACCTTGATGCATCAGCTAGTTAAGTAGATCTTTTACCAACCCAATGTCGTGCTCAACGAGTTTTGAGTTGAGTTTTTGCTTTCCTTGACTCTGAAAGATGACTGACCTGTCACTAGAATCATTCACCTATTTCTTAAATTCTGTTAACGAAACATGAGGTTATTTTTTATCCATGATTTATGTCCAGTCATCAGTTTCCACAGGGGTAGCAATCACAGTTGTGCTACACACACTGCGAGACCTGGATGATTATCGGAGATTTGGGCGGTCAGATTTTTGTTTCTCCTGCCAAAAACAGACCTAGCCATGAGATTGAATTTTCCAGGCGTCTTCCAAATGCTTTCACTTTGAGAGCTGGAAGCAGAAGAAATCTGCCTTCATGAGTACTTCCTCCTTAGACACATGTAAGTCCATAGACTTTGGGATTATTTGGGATGACAGCAAATCCATTTATGTATCGACAAAGCATTATTAAATTCGTCATGATTGCGCTTACTAATATGCATTTTAGCAGCCTAAAACATTGTAGGGGTCTCAAAGACAAGCACTTAGTATCAGAAGCTCATTGCTGGAATGACTATTTTCATCCACTTTCATGCAACCTTTTGGAAGCCGCAAAAGTTGGAGTTGTATGGACTCACTGCTACCATCTTTCGCACTCAACGCACTGTATGCAACTTTCTGAATGATATTTATAGCACAGGCTAGGTATTGATAATTGCTTCTTAGGAAGCACTTACCTAAAGTTTTAGTCTAAAATCTTGGACTATCTAGTCATCAGTCAGCTGTTTAAAAATAGCAAAGACACCCAAACACGTAGATAACAAAGCTGATAACCAGCAAAAAACTTGAATTATGAACTACTAAATTCAAAAGTGCAACAAACAGAAATAAAACTGGTATACTCAATTAAACAACGTGTATAAAGTTACTTTTGAAAAGTAACGATATTCTTGGTGTCGCTTCAACTGACGTTAGCTCAATTAAAGTGAATACGGCGGACTTGATGTGTAATAAACAATCAAAACTATAATTCCAACACACTGAAGTTAAAAATACCACCTTACTCTTAAATAGAGCGCCCTTACTTCGGTAATAAGATGCTCGGTCTCTTCAAGGTCGTGCGGTCAATATTTCTGAAGGAATGTTCACATGGATGTTGCCTTCGAATTGGCTTGTGAAGCACTCAAATGTAACGAAGTTCCAGTAGGATGTGCTTTTGTTTATAATGGAGAAGTAATTGCATCTGGCCGCAACGAAGTAACTCATTAGTAGGAGTTTTGTGATTTCTAGGTGAATGCAACTAGAGATGCTACTCAACATGCCGAGATGGTTACTATTAGACGACTAGAACAATGGTGTCGAAATAACGAAAAGGAGCTTGACAAGGTTTTGACCGAATGCGACCTTTTTGTTACAGTGGAACCCTGCATTATGTGTACGGCTGCTATATGATCAGTTTCAAAGTGTTTTAAGTGGTTCTGGGTGGAATAGAAGCTGTCGCTTAGCGAATGTAGCGATAAATAAATACTCAAAATTAATAACACTGTACGTCTTTGAAATTTAATGCTGACTACATTACTTTTAATGTACTCACCCAGCTGAAGGCGCTCGGCGATGCATCTGCACCAGATCACGATTGGCACGCCGAGCTCAATTTCTCCTGCAATCTCTGGCCAATTTAGTCCAGTCACCTCTCCACATATTTATGACATATCAACTATATCTTCGAAACTCTTCGCCTTTTACCTTTTATTTCACTGGGTGAGCACGATCCAATTGTGAGTGTTACTGACTAAATTGTTGCCCAACTACAAATACTTGTGGCATTCTTCACTGGTGAGCCGACGTAATCTGGTACACCGACTCGTAAACTGTAAGTCGTTTCCTATTAGGAAGTTCATATATCATTACTCTACCTAAATTTTTATATATTGTGATATTTTTTCATATTTTTGGATCTTTTTTCCCTCGTTCATTCCTGTACTTCATCTTCGCCATACAGAACAGACTACTAAGGTACTTAAGATCAAGACTTTGACGCCAACTTCATTCTAGCTAGTGCCATGCTGGCTGGACAACATCAAAGCCTGGTTCTGCTACATAGAGACTGACCTCTACGAGCATTGAATGACCGATGAACGTGCACAGTTCCTCGTAGTAGTAAAGGCACTAACACGCGAATTCTGCAGGTACAAACACCTAGTATGTTTACTAGTGACGTTTCGGAACCTTATGAAACTGTAAAACGGCCTATTCTGAAACGCGGTAATCTAACAGATCAACAAAGGTTGGATCAACTCCTTAATAACATCGATCTTCAACATGGCTCGGCAACGGACATGTTGTTACGAATGAGCGATGTAATTGATCAAAGGACTTTCGACGATGACCTGTTGAAACAACTTCTTTTGTCTAACCTTCCTCAACAGGTGCAAGCTGTACTTGTCTCGATTCAAAACAATACCGTAGACAAGCTGGCTGAATCTACCGACCTCAATCTGGAGATAACCAAATCTTCTAACTCCGATGTTTCTACAGTCAAAGAAAAACCGCAAGCGACACACAATGACATTACGGAACTATGTCATACGTTGACACGTAACCTTCGCATTCATAATGACAGTGAACGATCGCAAACCTGTAAAAGGAGTTCTTCATGTAAACGATCTGTCTCTAGCCCACGATGGACAGATTACGCCGACTGGTGCTGGTATCACAATCAGCAAGGAAGATCTCGAAACTACAGTAAACCCTGCAATTTTCAGAACTCCAAACCGACCGACATTAAAAACGTTTCAGGAAACTTCCCGGCCGGTACGCTTTAACGGCAACCGTAGCCGGTAAACATAGCCATCTATTAAACGTCACTGATGTGATTGCGAAAATTGGCTACCTCGTCGATGACGGTGCACAAGCTAGCGTTCTTCCGGCAAATTCTAACGACCAATTGCACGAACCCGTTTTAAACTTACAGGCGCCAAACGGAAAACCGATCATCACATATGGTAAGCGGTACTTCTATCTTAAAGTGGGTTTACGCAGACCCATCCACTGAATTTTCGTTTTTGCAGATGTTTCTACGCCAATCATCGGTACAGACTTGCTACAATATCATAATTTAATAATCGACACGCGCACATGGAGGTTAGCAGAAGGAAACAATAATTTGTCTGTTTGTGTAACTTTTTTTCTGGTTGTAGACTATCCTCAGTCATAGTAAGGCACACGATCGATCCATACTACCAACATATACTCGATAATTACCCTGCGCTATACCAAACGCAACCGAAATTGCAGTGCGTAACCAGCAACGTTACATATCACAACACGACTACAGGATCCCCTGTATTTTCGAAAGAGCGCCGACTACCTCTCGAAAATCTGAGAGTGGCTAAAAACGAATTCGATCACGTGATAGATTGAGGAATCACTCAGCAATCTTACTGCAATAACAAGTTACTTGCAGTGTCAAGAGATGCATTCTCATGGTAACCGGTGACCAACGATTGGTTTATACGTCGTTTATTTCCTTAGGATCCTGGAACCCATGTACATCATTGGTTTGGAATTACTTCCTTACGTCTGTTACTCCAAATGGAGCATAGGCCGCCCACCCGCATTCTCCAACCCACTCCGTCCTGGACCTTCATTTCTAGTTCCATCCAATTCTTGTTCATTTTTCTCATGTCTATCTCCATTTCTCGACGTAATGTGTTCTTTGGTCTTTCTCTTTTCCTTTGGCCTTGAGGATTCCATGAGAGAGCTTGCCTTGTGATGCAGCTAGGTGCTTCCCTCAATATGTGTTCTATCCACTTTCAGCACTTCTTCCCGATTTCTTCTTTCTCTGGAATCTGGTTTGTTCTCTCCCATAGTAGTAGGCTGTTGCTGATAGTGTGTGTCCAACGAATCCGAAGTATTTTGTTAAGACGGCTATTAATAAATACTTTTATCTTCTGGATGATTGCTTTCGTAATTCTCCAAAGTTCCGCACCACACAGTAGAACTGTCTTGACATTTGTATTGAAAATTCTGACCATGGTGTTTTTTGACAGCTGCTCGGAGTTCCAGATGCACTTCATCTGTACATATGCCGCTCTTGCTTGCCGATCAGCGCCTTCACATCTGCATCAGATTTAACGTGCTCATCAATGATGCTGCCCAGATATGTGAAGGGTTTTACATCTTCAAAATCTTCGACGTCAATTGTGACTGCGTAGTGGCATTGGACAATAGCCACACAATCCACAAAGCTGTGAACACGAGACTACTCAGAAAATAGATATTCAATATTTAACTCGGGGAAATACCTAACAATGGAGAAGGCGCGGGGAATGAATTAAATTGACTGGAGTTGATCGAGTGGCATGGCTCGACCATGCAGGCGTGGTCTCTGCTGAATGTTACCTTATATCTTCTGTTCATATTAAATATATTGTTCTTTCTCTAACCTAACCTTGTTCTACATCATATATTGGTAATTGATACGATACAGTGAGTTGGTGTAGTCGATGGTGTGACTTCCACGTAAGATCTTATAGATTAGGCAGTTATATCATGACAAACCTACAAATTTAGGATTAGGTCTATTATAAGAGCAGTACTACTATCATAGTAGACCATAATTCTACATTGGTGAACCCAACTAAAGAAACGCAACCTATTATTGTCAATCCTTATTTCCACTTTAACTTTCTCGATCGATTTTATATTTATGTTAACCCAGTATTCTAATAGTCCTCTGATTAATGCTCACATGCATTATCGTAATGTTATATTGAATAGTCCTCATGACATACTAGCTCAAACGATAATAAAAACTGGTCGTCAATATTAACTAATTAGCTTTGATGATTCGTTAACAAGCTTTGATAGCATTTACATGCTTCAGCGACATAGACTTGTTTAAACATCAAGCTCTAGCGAATATGGCCTGTAAATAGCGTAAATATACATTGACTAACAATGCAATCAAGGATTGAATAGTTATCCGGATCTAATTCTAAGTGTTCCTTCACTTAACACCTCATTCTGTTTTAAACTATGCACTATCCTGTAATATCTTTTCTTCCGACCACTGCCTGCCTAATTCCATATTCTCGAGTTCCATTGCCAAACAACAAGGATGACACTTCTAAAAAATTACGGTGAGTTCCAGCTATAAGTTTTCTGCAATCATAAGTTCATTTTAGATGGCTCATTCAATGGCACACACAATTATCTGGATTCATTCAGTTGTTCTGGTCAGAGCGAGTCCCAAAAACCTTAACAGCATCAAGCACCCTAGAAGTGATTGCCATTCTGAATGTTTTATTCTGGATGCTTTTGGATCATTACTACTCCTCACGAATGGCGTTATATATGTCGTCCACTGAATAATCTAATTTTCAAAAATAATCCAGGCGAGTTCAACTATTTTACTTAATGATTTTTTGTACTTAACATGTATATATTTTCCAGTTGCTTTTGCCATATATTTGTAAGTGTCCCTAGACTAAATGCAGTAACTTCTTATGGAATGTTTATAACGCGTCATATTCCTGCCTGAAGTTTCACAAGCAGTCTTAACTTTAAAATTATTTATCTGGTCATGTTCATTATTTTTAAATTTTTATATACGTCAACAACCTGCATGTTAACCTGGCCCGTACATACGTTTTACTATGTCTTCATATCTTTTGAATTTAGAAATCATCTGAATCGCCTTTAACATTTATCAATAAACCCATCATAGTCGTTGTTGCTAATCGTATTTGGGTTTATGGATTGGTTTATCGTATTAGCAGCCTAAAATGCGAACATAGTTTAGATTATAAGATTACAAAATTTAGGTACTATCAACTGCACTAGTAAAATAACTAAATCCTCAGGTAGCTGTTGGCTAAACAAACGTTTAAAATCAAAACTCCGTAGCCTACTAGAATTAACACTAAACAAATCTTTCTGAATTAAAATTTATAATTAAATTAGGCGTCTCGGGTTCTTTAACGTTACAAATTTCTGATAATCTCGAATCACCTAAAGCAACAATACCTATTTTTCCACTGGCTAATCC